CACGTGGCCCGCTGCTTCTCACCGAATAAAGTTTTGCCACTTTCTTACTCAGAACATTTTCTCGGCTAGTGCAATGAATAGCGCTTTCTTCGGGTAAGCTGCCGCAACGAGACTGATTGGAAGCATTTTTTATGAGCCACCTTATGTTGTCACTGTGAATTGAAACATCACAAAGAAACTCTAACTTTATTACAGAATCGACGTACAAAATCAGTCACTGTGGAAATGAGTATCGATATCTTTTTTTTTTTTAAACCGGACGTGAAATCCCTTTCATAAGTGACTCTTTTCATATAGGATGGGGGAAGGCGTTCCTTCAGATGGAAAATCTGAGTGACATTTTGTTCAAACTCTCTGTCTCTCTCCCGCTATTTCTTCTCCCTGCCCGTTTCAACATACCCGGCCACCATTCCGGTCCACCATACCGGTTTTTTAGGACAAAAGTTCTTAACTGTGACCCGCTAGCTTAGGTGTGTTAGCGACCCCTGATCGAAATCGTACGTGAAACGTTTAGGTAGCGCCTTATATGTGTTTAATTTTTTTTCCGAAGGAAGTCCACCCTCACAAGGTGAAATCGGCATAACAAAAATATTATTCGCACTTCCAGGCACAATACAGTGCTGGGAACATAACCTTAATGGATAAAGGTTAGTCATAATAATTGTTAGGGTTTAAAGTCCTAATACCACCATATGATAATAAGAGACGCCACAGTGGAGCGGCTCCGGAAATTTCTACCACCTGAGTTTTTTTAACGTGGACCTAAATCTAAATAACGGGGCCTCGAGCACTGTCGCCTCCATCGCAAATGCGGCCACCACCGCCGGGATTTGATCCCACGACTCGCAGCCATAATCACCAGACCAACGAGGCGGGTGAAGTTCCAAAAGTTCTAAGCACAAACGCAATGCCTCTTGTGATAACTAGGAAAGTTAGAACAGCGAATAAAATGTAGCTACATTGTAGCTCTGGAGGCCAGTATACACGCGCGAACATCTCATGTCATCGCGTAGGTTGCTGAATTTGCGCGAAATGGCCTCTACCCGCTCTCTTCTTTAACACGAAAGTGTTTTATGCCGGGTCCACCACGGCTCCTCTGACGTACTTTCGTCACGGAAGTGACATTGAAAAATATTTACTGATTGCAAAGAATAAACCAGGAGGCACGCATTCGTCGTGCGGAATCAAACCAGCAACCCCCGACTCAGAGTGATGTTTTGCCTTGGAGTCCAAACTGAAATTCATTGCTTCTGCAAAGGCAACCAGCGTCAAAACAGCAAGCGAGCCCGGCTGACGCAATCACCGGCAACGGTGCGTCTTGCGCGATGCACGGCAAGCTCCCTCTGTCCGCGGGTTGGATTTCAGCCCGAAGATGCAGTCGACGTCATTTAGCCAGGTGCGTCTTACGCAACGTGTGGCAATACCACTCGCCCATGTGTGCAATCCAGCGGCGGTTCCTGACTGGAGGCTGCTGACACAAGAGCAAGCGGTGGTTCCTGATTTGAAGCTGTTGACGTAAGGTATCCCCGGGGCCTATGAAAGAGCCAAGCGGTGTGACGATAAGCAGCTGACAAAAGCGTCAGAGCGTCCAAAGACATCCCGGCTCTCGTTCGCACCTGAGCGTACGAGTTCCTCAAGCTGTCGACCCCAGTGCCGAACATGTAACGCCTCTGTTTATGCTGTACATAAATGTTGCCTAAACTCCCCGTCAGCTTGTCCGCTCTGTCTATCAGCTCTGCACAGAAGCAGCCGCAAGCTGAGACACGCGATTCCCAACCGTAGGGACAGCGGCATGATACTATAACAGTGCGCGGCGCTAACCACTACGCCACGGAGCGTATACGTTGTCTGGAGTGCTAGGCAAGCCATCTATATACGCCATTCACCGTGTGACAGTCGTCACAGCTTCAAAACTTTAGCGCGTTTTCGTTATGGGATGACGCTACGGCCTTGCGTTGAACTCGTTCTAAAGGTCATCGTCTCCACGAAGCGCTGCCTTCACAGAGCGTGGTCTCCCCTGCGCGCGCGCTATAAGACTCGCAAATTGGGTGAGGATGAAGGCTACTTCACACGCTTTCACGGCCGCGTTTAGAAAGGAGCATGCTGGTGACACACGACGCAGGAATAATTGTGACGGTTGTTCACACTTGACCTGTGTATACTTGTGCGCTTGTTTCTTGCATCTTTCTGTATGAACAGCGTGCCATAAATGTCCAGCTGTGACAGTTGTTAGTCCGCGTTCGTCCTGTGCATGCTAATTTCGTGCGTGATTTCTGATCTACAAGGTTCGAGCTGCTGGCCGTTGTTAACGTAACTTTTCAAATTGTTGCTGTTGCTGAAACAATGCACAATAAAGGTTCAACTACCTCTGTAAAGACACGTTTCACTTTTGCGTTTTACCGATTCCTAAACAGGGGGATCAGCCACCTTTTTGCGACGGGATAATAAATGAATAGGCATCATTTAAAATTATTTTATAAATAGCTCCTCGGTAGTTGAATCCTCATGCTTGAGGATTATCTCACTGTTGATAACTAAGTGATGCTGGACACTGGATTTTTGGGACCATGATTGTTCCGCCTGGTTTGGTGCACTTCGTCATACATGTGTCTTAAAGGGGTATTGACACAAAAATTCGGGGCCGAGATAGCCTGCGGGGTCAACTCTCTTGAACATTCGTATATCATCTGCAGGGTATCAGCAGCGAATATAACTTGGAAGGTATTTTAAATCAACTTTGAAGTTTCCGTAAGCGACCGACTTCATAGCGCTATATACACCCTCGGAGTAGGTGACCCCGAGGTGACCCCCTACTTCCCTCGCGTCACCCCGCTGCGGTCGACAAAACAAGTTATGATGACGTCATAGCCGCCATTTTCTTTTGTCGCGTTAGTTCCCGAAGTCTATATTTCTCGGCGGCTGGTTGCGAGTGCATTGCCTTTGCGCACACTTATAAAATTTTGTGTTTGGTGACATTCCAGTGCCGTTTCCTGTTCGAAAGTAATTCTTGATGCGGATCGTGCGGAAGTGCGTCACAGTTCTGTGTGCTGACGCAGTCAAGAGTTGTACACGCTAGGTGACGACAGTTTTACCCAGGTTTCGGAACTCGCTCAAAAGGAAACTGAAACTGATCAATAATGAAGGGCCTGTAAATAATTATTTATCGTGTGCTGCAGCAAACAATGTGTCGTGTCATGACTAACAGCCCTACAACAACGCATTGCAGCAGAAAAACGCGAAGCAAATTTTTTTGTGTCAGTATCCCTTTAAGGACCGAAGCCACTACCATTTCGTGAGAGCGCATCTTCTCGTTCGTTGTCTATATTGTTTTCGGAAAGTAGAAGCGAAAAACTCGTTCTGGCTTCCTTTCGCCTCTCTCTAAATAATCTTTTCCCCCTCTCTCTCAGCGTCTTGTAGCATTGAAGCGTAGTGTAAGGAGGCAGGTAAATTAGCCTTCATTCCAGTTCATGTGCATCGTTCAGCAGCCGAAAGTTTCAGCGAGTTGTCTCGCTCCAACCCAACTAACAAGTAATCACTGGCACGGTGTTCGTCTCGTTCGTAGAAAACCAGAATTTCCGCTGCCACGAACTCATCCATCACTGTCGCTAATCTAAGGAATGTCGTCTACCGTGGCTCATATACGGCGTTGTTTCTATTCGTTGGCCCTGGGGTGTGACAAAACGCTTCCCTCCACTCAGTGAAGCCCCTTCCTTGCTCCCCTGCTGCGACAGATATATCTATGGGTCGTTCAGAAAAGTTTGAGCTCTCCGACTTGGCGGAGAAGACAAATAAAAATTTGAAAAGGAAGCCACTGATAAGTCAGTGTTACATGCCCTAGAGCATCGCCAGGATGAGATAGGCAGCTCATTTGTTCTTTATTTGCTTCCTGTAACGCCTTAAGGCAATTATGCCACAGCCATCGATTTTCCGACCACGTGGCAAGTACGATCTGCGTAGATATAGGGCATGTATTACATCCGTAAACATGAAAGAATGCAGCCAGGCTCAAAATGGCTCGAAAAAGATACAAAGAAATGATTTATATTTATTTATATTAACTGCACGTACGCCGGCTGCGGCAGCCTACAAATAGGGGTTGAGGTGCACGAATGCTGACACAGAGAAAACGGGTTTGATTCCTGGCCCGGAAGTCACAATGCTAGATGCCGTCGTGCACTGTTAGTGCACGTTGAAGAACCCCAGGTGTTCGAAACTGACCATTACTAATAGGTTTTCAATGCGCAATGTGGTCTAAGTTAACCGGAGCCTTCCTCAATGTCTTGTTCCACAGTTTTGGACCGTAAAACCACAGAAACTTTCATTGTTCTCTCGCACTCCCTCAGAATCAAAACACTTATGGACTACAGCGATTCCATTCATTTGTCACATTTCAGCTTTAGCGGCAACACAGGCGTGTGCGAGAAAGCGGACCAAGCTCAAGAAAAAACAAGGGGCTATTTTCAGGGTGCGAATGGTATTTGCAAGTAAGCCGTGAGACACGTCTTTCTGGCGGCGATTAACAGTGTATCTTCAACAACACACCCAGCTCGAAACTCGTTTAGGTACCATTATTTGCTGCTATGCTTCCTGCTAAGTGCGTTTCCCAAGAAATGGTCGTCGCAGCGGGATTCCGTTTCGCATCTATAGAAAAGCAGTGCTGCAGAGTCGAGACAGACTGACAACGTTTAGGTCGCATTGACGAACTGCCCAGTATTTTCCCGGCAGAAGACCCGGATCTATAGACAGCTATTGTGTCTGATCTTCCCTCGGGGCTCTTCGTTTTGCGTGCCTGTGCAGCCTGGTCAGGCCCATGCGTTCCACCCGGAGCAGTCGCTTCGCGCATCATCGCTACCAATTGTGGCAAGAAGTCGTTCGGCCAGTCCTCTCGCAGTGAGCGCCGTCCCAAGGACGTCGCCGCAAGGGGGAAATCCCTCCCCCCTCATCGCTTGCGGGGTGGCGGGTGAGGCGCCTCGGCCGCCGATTAAATCTCGCCTGTCCCTCCTCGCCGGCCGCGTATCCCCCTTCGGCCAGGAGGCACGGGCCGATCTGCGCAGAACGCCCGGCAGCCGCCCTCAGGTGCTGTTGTATACGCGCTAGAGAAGCGAGAACTCACCGAGTCGACCGGCATGGCGGTTGTACCACGGACGATGCACTGGTGCCTCGCCGCCTGCCTTGCGGTGGCCGTGGGACTTGTCCGGGAGGCGTACGCCATCGATGACCATCAGCTGTGAGCACTTCATCTTATTTCCTATCTGTCGTGTTTCGGTACTCGTGCTCGTGTGAAATTTCAAAGGAACCACTTGTGACTGCACGTATTTACACACGGGGTGTGAGCGGACGTTGCAGTGAAGGCAACGGTTTGTTGCAAGCTCGTACTATGCAAACGTGATCACCGTGTTCCCTCTTCTGGCTACCGCGCAGCCATACAAGACCAACATTAGAATTAGTAGAGAACAAGAAGGCGAATAAACGAGGAAGGAGGGAGGAGGGGCGTGCGAGCAAATCGATATACTTCCATAGCTTTGGATTGCTTGGAAGGCCAGTGGGGACAGGGCTTCTGAACCATGCACCATCCATGGTGAAATTCGCAGGCCATAGATCACTTCATAAAAGCAAGCATTGATCATTCAAAAACCGCTCTTACGAACAACAGCTTTGTAGGCAAGAATTAACTAAAGTTTTTGTTCCTGAGAACTGCTTGTCATTTGCAAATAATTCATATGTGGCATTTAACGATCCAAAACCACCACACAATAAAGAGAGACGCCGTAGTTAAGGGCTCCGGAACTTTCGACCACCTGGGACTTTTTAACGCGGTCATTAGAAAGTAGCAGTCACTCGTGTTCTCGATAGCGTCGTCGCTATGGCCTCTCCCTATTCCTGCTTATGGCTCTAGCGTACAAATTCTTTTGTTCTCTTTTCTATCGTTTATATCTGTATTAAACTAGATATTAAATATCTCAGGCGTCATCCACTTTCACACGTCTTCATAATATTAGAAGCGACAATGATTGGCCATCTTGAAACTATATAAAGGGTCTTAGAAACTGCGTTCACAGGTGACACGACGTACCCAAATTCCCAAACCTCGTACACCTTGAGAGTTATTTCATACTGCTGTTTTAAACGTACAGTTGTTATGCCGACCCCTAATCTTAGGTGTTTTACTTGTATGGCTTCTAATCAGTTTAATTCCTACACTACAGATCTGCTCGCTTGAAGGCCAACCCAACATTGTGCACTTCTGTGTATGCGTAATTATAGGCATATGTCTTACACGTGTAGTAATCCATATAAGCAGGCTTTGAATGTGTGTGTGTGTGTGTGTGTGTGTGTGTGTGTGTGTGTGTGTGTGTGTGTGTGTGTGTGTGTGTGTGTGTGTGTGTGTGTGTGTGTGTGGGTGTGTGTGTGTGTGTGTGTGTGTGTGTGTGTGTGTGTGTGTGCGTGCGTGTGTGTGTGTGTGTGTGTGTGTGTGTGTGTGCGCGTGCGTGTGTGTGCGTGCGTGCGTGCGTGCATGTTAAATGTATTTTTACTTATTCAACACCACTTGGCTTATCTCTTCGGTAATGAACCTTAGAAACTGCGCTCGATGTGAATTTACACCTAGCGCAGCCGATAGCGGCAGCCCAATTAGGAACTAAGTCGCTGATATGGCCCCTGATCTCGTGGGTGTGTACTGATTCCCAAGCTTGTCTACCAGCAGGGCTTGTTAACATGGCAGGGATGCCAGAAAGTGTTCTACTATTAACGCCCATTACGAGTGTCAAGTGGGAAATATGAAAGGGCATTTGAGTTACATCACGTCTCTCATTTTGCGGCACATTGTTTGTGCATAAACGAGAGACTATGACGTGGAATACAACCTCTAATTTCGTAAATGGAGACCGCGTGTTGTACCCTGGTTACGTTGTTTCACTTTCCAAGTCGGACGTTGCTATCTGTAATGAACTATACTTGCCCCTTCATGTCACAGAGTTGTCAAACTCTGCAAACACATTTTCTGGATGGAAGCATTAGAAGCGGGACGAGTTCTATTGTTTCTTCTTCGGTATAGTTATCTCGATATATTTCAAACGAATAATTGCTGATTTTGTTTATTATTACTAATTCGTGCAATTGAGAACATGAATGCGTGAATTAATAGATCAGAGCTCGCGTTCACGTCTCGTGTGTTCCCGTACAAGACGATTGTTATCGTTGGTATCTTCATCTATTAGGCACCAGCTCTCGTTCGTGCAGAAATCCCACTTAAGTGCAGGTTAAGGAACATCTAAAAGGAGGCAGTAAAACTCCACACAGTCAAACTTATCATCATCATTGTCATCGTAAGCCTGTCTTATGCCAAAAGAAGGACAAAGACTTTCCCAGTGATCAACTCACCCTGTCCTACGCAAGTTCATCCCACTCAATGCCCGTGAATTTCTCAATTCCTTTCCACCACCTCTGCTATCCTAGATCTGGCTTCCCATCTCTCTGCATCATCGATTCTGACCAGGGGCGCAGCCCGAATTTGTCTCTTTTTTTTTTGGGGGGGGGGGTGATTAGAAGGTCCAACTACCGTACTTGCACTTGTATAGGTAAGGACAAATTGTAAGGCAAAGCAAACGAAGGCGCCCGTGCACCAGATACGTAGTATTCTTCCATCCTATAGTTGAAGTGTCTTATAGTGAGTTTAAAAAACACACGTGCACCAAATATGTCGCGATGGCGTTCTTATGCTCATGGAGTCGCCAATGACTCGATTGCACTTAGCGGAAACAGCAACAACAACGACAATCTCGCTGGGTTGAATTTCTTGCAATTTTGGACCAACTTTGTGCAGTTAGCATTTTGACGTATTCGAAAAGTGATGGTACATACGAATAGTGGTTACTCAATTCGCAAATCGAACTAAACGGCACACTATGCTATACCGTATTCGACACATTCGAATATTCGCACTGTCCAAGATACCGCTGAGGCACAGTACTGATAAGATCATGCTGCACGTAACTCGAGTGCTTGCCGATGCCTTGATACAAAGTCGAATCCACATCCCCTCTATGAGCGCGCGGGAAGCCCTGGCCCTGCCTTCAACTCGAAAATAATCAGCATTGCTTGTCCGGGAAAGATTGCAGCATCGTCTTGCCTCTCTGGCAGTATTGCTTTGTTTACTTTTCATTGGGATTTGTACGGAAGTCAGAGCTATTGTTTTGATACTGCAACCGGAACGACGATTGTCAGGAAAAACGTTTTTACACAATCGGGTATATATAACGGCTATGCGAAAGCAGCGGGAATGATCTCAACGCAAAGGAGAGTGTCTTGAGAGGCGTCAGGTGCCACGCACCGCAGCACGCTCGCAAATCTCGCGGTTTCCATAAAGAACATCCCTCGGTTGCACAAGAGAGATCGTTATAGGCATCGTCTAAACATAGCATCAAGCGTCTTTACTAACTTGTCATGCAAATTGGGGGAGGGGGGAACAGTGGGGGGAGAGCAGACGCAAATCCCTCGACACCACGCGGAATTCGCCGAAAACGGGCTTTCTTGCGTGATCTTACGCCCCCACGCGTTCGCGAAGGCAAAGCAGAAGCCGCGGATTCTACCTAAATTGACAGTGTTTATCGCATCTACCCGAGGCGGCATTGAGTCGATGGGCGCTCGGGAAAGGCCAGCCGAGCGGGCTTTCCACTTTGCCAAAGGAACCGCTCTCGGCGGCGCCGGGGCAACACGCAAGGACGCCGGGTGCGTATTCCGGCGGCGACGTCCCCCGAGAGCTCTTTCCTTCAATTGACTCAATCATGCTGGCGTGTTCGTCACGCGGACGTTGATTGTTGTCAGAACGCCGGCGTTGTCTGTACGCACTGCGCTTTCGCCGCGTGTGGCACCGCGGTGGATCGCCCTAAGAACGCCTAGGCCAACGGTCCTCCCTCCCGGACTTCGATATGCTGCTCCCGTAACACAAGATGACGAAACAAGGGAAGGTATAGGCGCAAATAATAATAAAAGAGCACCTTACACGTGTAGTCCAATGCTTCATAAGGATCATTGCGGAAGACCTTGAAAAATCACCATCATGAGCAGATGAAGAACATCATGAACCGATGAAGCTCTCAAACCGAAGCTGCTCGACCCACATTTTGACGTTGTTTTGCACGGACGAGACGGAGAATGCGGGAGATGAGACGCAATGCAAGCACTGCCCTCCATGTGGCCCTCATTTTCTTGTGAAGGCGTACTTTTGGGTTAGTTGGTTCGTGTTTGCAGTGAAATAGCACCGGCGAAAACGGCAGAGCACCCGAGGTGAAGGACACGTATACACAAGCGTTCTTGTTTCGCGTCGAAAGATGTTGCGGGGATTTATTGCTACGCCATTTATAATGCAGTAGAAAACTTTGCACACGCCATTTTTCTACACTTAGATGGTGCCCTCTGAACTGTCCAGTGATTTATTCTGAATGTTTCGCGTGGAACATAATGGTAAAGTCTATGAAGATGCCGGTACCTTCGATGTTGCACAGGTCTTATCCCTCCTTCTCGAGAACATAACATGTAAACTCGGTGCAGGGGACGTTTAAGGGCCGTATGCCCAACATTTGATTGCCGTGCTTCAGAACTTGAAGCATTGTTGTTTTGGTTTGCACTGTTGGAGGCATATTGCTACCTCTGGTGTTGGAGGTAGGAATGTGTTCAGCGCACCGTAACCCCTTTCCATGGTATTGAATCTCGTTGCATCCTCCAGCCTTTTTTGTCGTTATTCTGCAAGTGTTTTCTTCCGAGCAGGCAGGTGTTAGGACCCTTTCAATCGCATAGCAGCTAGCCTTCCGTAATGACTGTTCTGAAGTAGATTGACAGTGACAGGAAAATGTTTCCTTAGATGAAAGTGAGACAATTGGCAGCGTCAAATGTTTGCCCCGGCATTCACAACGCATGAAGTTCAATTCGTTACTTCAGAATGACGCTTCAGTGCAGCTGAGAAACATGGACTGCCAACCAATTGGATTGAAAACCATCGTATATATAGTAATTTCGCGTGGCAGCGTTCCACTGGCGAACAAGTTGCATGTATACCATCCACGTCGTTCTAACTCAAAACACACTGGTTCGGGCCACGTACTGATTCTTCAGGCCCTTATTTTAAAACCCCAAGTGATCAAGTTCTTCCAGAGTCTGGGAAATTTTTTATTACCACTAGATCAATTTGCATATTTGGCTACGCGACCCGTGTGTGTGCTAGACTATACGACAACAAAAACACTAGTGATTTCGACAACGAATTCATTATGCGCAACAAACTCGTCATTTCATGAATACTATTTTCTCTTATTTTTTGTTTGTTCGTGGGTTCACAATAAAAAATACGGTTGATGCAGGACCAACTTTATTGCGTGGATTTAGAAGTCAGTCACAATTTTTGTACAAGCAAAAAAAAAGAGACAGTTTGACTTTGCAAATTTTTAGTGTTGTATTGAGCTTATTTGTTTTTGTTGACGCTATACCTCATCATTTTTCTGCACTGAATAGTTGCTACACATATGGGATGTGAACTGTGATGTAGGAATGCCACGCTACTAGACTTTCTTTGTGCGTTTTGAAGCTTATCCCAGCGTGAGCATTAATTTGTGGCAGGAAGTAGAAATGGTAGATGGCTATAGTAGCGGTCTGCTGGCTTTACTTTTGTGCTTGTATGATAAGGTGCGATAGCCAGCAAATGCTGACTGATTCAGAGAACTTTTCGCAGGTAAGAAAATACAAAAAAAATATATCTTACAACACACCTGAGAGTCTATCTTTAAGTTACAATACACCTATTTAGAAGGAAGATCCAGCGACAGCTAATAGCAACATTAGTCATAGGAAAATGAAATGAAAATAAACGCGGCCGTCCAATGACAAAGATGACTTGCGAACGGAAAGATGCCTGAAGTCAGCCTATTGAAGACACCTTCATAAACAATTATTCTTGCTGCAGAATTGCTGGTAACAGCTGAGGCCAGCCAGTCATAATGTTCGGCGTATGATCAGTGCGATCGGCCAGTGGCAAATATTTTTTACAAACTGGCTTTGTTAATTGTGCCCAAGGGCTCGCATGCATGCAACTCTACGCAAAGGCCGTTACTCAAACTTTTGGCCGATTAAAAAAAAACTGGTACGTCGTAATCATGACAGCAAAAATATAATTTGCGCCATTAATAAGATTCTTTTTGAGGAAGAGCGCTATGAAAGTCGAAACTAGATATACGTTCAAGGTAAGATGGAAGCTGAAAGTGATTAGAAATTGCTTAACCGGGAATGTCAAACTATGAACGCGGTCAAATAGACCAAGTTAATAGTGTAGTTTGTACGCTAGAGCTGTACGTCCAGGTACTGGTCTATCATAGCTAGTAGAATATCAGCAAAGGTCCATAGATGTGTTTCTGCGAACGGGAAGAATTCATCCTCGAAAGCGGCCTTGCTCCTAACTGTGTGCTTTTTTGTTTGTTGCTTTTTTGTCATCTTGTTTGCATTTATTCTTACTTCTTTGCGCTAAGCAAAATATGTGGGAACGTTTCAAAATGAAATTCCCGCATTCTTCTTTGTCTTTAATGACATTCTTTCTGTCTTGTTGTGTAAATAACCACACCACTGCGTTACGAAAACCAGGCCAACTGACGTCGACAGCAGTTTTCAGTGGGAGCGAACGATCGCATTTAGAGTCCAACACCGCGTTGATGGTTCGTCAGTGACGTTGAGCCGATTGTTGCCTCGGCTCCCACGGGGCTTGCGACACAATCTAGAAAGGATCGCGCTACCGAGAATCGCCCGATCACGTCGCCCATGACCAAGGTTATGGTGGACAAGGAAAACGTGGCAGGCGCGCCCCTCAAGCGTTTCAAGGGAATCCATTCAACGCATCTCCGCATCGCGCTCGCGGAATTCCACTTTTCCATGACTGCGTAATAACCTCCAAACTCGTTCGACGTTTGAACAGCGCTCCTTGTCTCAAAGAAATGGGTGTTTGGTTTGCGTGCGTTGTCTCCAGATCGCAATAGCTATATCCTTGAACGCGCATTCGCGTCACCCGTTGCGTCCACTAACACTGAGGGCAGCCTCTCGGATGTGTTGGAGACTTTACGGATTTTCGCTATAACATTGTCTCCTGTACAGCTGTTCCGTGCCTGTGAACTGACGGAATGACGTTAGCTTCCACCGCTATTTTAGTTCAACTGCAGAAAATTATAAGAAGAAGGAAGACTATGACCAATTAGTGCTGCCGACGGCATAAACATTCGGATAGTGTGGAGGTGATTAATTAGCGAGTTTTCTTGCGTAATGATATTCCACTTGACTTGTCGTAGTAACTTCATGAATGGAAACCTCTAATGAAATATAAATTAAATTGCAACGTTTAATTCAACTTCAGATTGCTATATGTGGACTCATAGAAAGTTTTCAGAGCGCACGTTATATAAAAATAACTGCTTATATCTTACCGGCTCTTACCTACCTAACAGAAACATGGAGACTTACTAATAGGGTCAAAGTTAAACTGAGCACGATGCAGCGAATCATGGAAAGAAAAATGTTATGTGCAAAACAAAAGACAAAAAGAGAACAGAGTGGGTCATAGAACAAACGGTTGATAAGGACGTCTTAGCTGAAATAAAAAATATGGACGTGTAGGCAGACAACAGCTTGTCATTAAGCTAACGAATATATATATATATATATATATATATATATATATATATATATATATATATATATATATATAATATATATATATATATAATATATATATATATATATATCTATATATATATATATATATATATATATATATAAGACAAGGCAAGCGCACTAGGGACAGGCAGAAAGTTAAATGGGCCAATGAGATTACGAAGTTTGTAGGGACAAGGAAGCCGCAGCAAGCACACGACCGGGTTGATTGCCGAAACAGGAGAGAGGTCCTTGCCCTGCAATAAGCATAGTCAGCAATAAACCATCGCGTGCGGCAGCTGTGACTTAAAAACTCAAAATGTGCGTGAGCTGTCGCACGTAATAGTTCATTGCCGAGATAAACGGCAATGAATTTCACGGGTGCGCGTGAAAAACGCAGCCACGATGCGAAACCTTACGAAACCGGACCAGTCAAGTGGGTGTATTCGACCCGCCAGTCATTCAGAAGATAAACTCAAACTTGCAATTGAAATCGACCCCCGCTATGTCTGTCGTTAACTGCTGCAAACGTACCGTGCCCAACGCTTGGTGGAGCTGGCGTCAGTCGAAGCCAGCCGAGGCCACGTGGAGAGGCATTCTCTTACAGCTGCTCTGGGGTGGTCACATTTAAATACCCTTTCATGTTGTCTTACATGGTGACGTTGTCCAGTTGTCCAACAGTAACTCTCTTTATTAAGAGAGTGTTTGGAACAAGAAGCTGTAAAGAAACTAAGTAGTACCACTTGCACATCAGCAACGCCAGTGACAGCGTTTTTCGAAGTCACCCTAACAACAATGGTGTCCTTCAGCGAGTATTTCTGTCCCACAACTATAATCTTCATCTGTTTTGCAGGCCTTTCCTTGCTCTAACGCCACGTGCCAGGAGTACTACTTTCAGATCACAAGCGGTAGGTGCGTTATCAATGGGACGCCGCACGCTTTTGATAGGAAAGCACTGGGTAAAAAAAAATTTCAAGAACGAAAACGCGAGCAAGGTGGATCATGACTATTGCTGTAATACAAGAAATATATATAGAGAGAGTGACTTCCAAAAGGGTGCAAATTGTATTTAGATACTTCCGGATGATATTTTGCTCAGCACATGATTAATGGAATACTTAAAAACCAAATTGATGTTCAGTCCCGTCAACACTTTGTCGATATGTAAAAGAAATAGGCCAGACAACTACTAAACATGCGCACACACATGGTACTGCGTGGTCGCATAGAAGACTTGGGTATTATTAAACCGCGTGAACATGCATTTGGGAAGAAGTGGGGCCACTTGCGGCTCGGTTTTGACGAACACCTGCGGACCTCGAGTGAGTGCCACGCACGCCATAGCTTCTTCCGCGCAGACGAAAACCTCGCGTGTTTGGCGCTGTTCGATGAAAACAAATTTCGAACACCTGGAAACAAATGGACAGTCCTGGCACGCAACCTACGAGCGCACGGGGCCTCTGCACGCAACTGACCTTTTAGGCGGTCAACTAGCACTGTGCTAAGGAAAATGTTGCTGCCCTTGGGATTTTTTTACATCCACAGCGTGCCGATGTCTTACACCCACTGCTCGTGGCTCACGTCTCAGCATGAACTACGTCGTTGCTCTGAAAAGATGATGCCTAGCTGGACGTTTTGTTGTGAAATGTATCTTAGACACAAGTGCTGAAAGATAACTGGCGTATTCGATATGTACTTTTTTTAATTTATTGCACTTCATGATCAAAACACGTCTTTCTTGTTAGATGCGAGCTCAAGCTGTAAATAACTCGGACCACTCTAGCGTAAATCACACCGACGCTCAATTTCGGCAGAAAAGAAATGGCACAAAAATCTCAACCATTGTCACACACATTTTACTCATGGTGAAGAAGAGCGCGTTTTTGACGATCAGTAGGATTCTTTTTACTCATTGGTATCAGCGAAAACTGACAAGCTCTCTACTAAAATTGTGCTTACTGAAAAGTGGCCACTGGGGAAATCCCAAAGAAATCACACTTTTTAAGATCATTTTTATGCTGAAATTGGAGCAGGAATGTGCTCTGTTGCCTGGGATTCAAATGCTCAGACGTCATAAAGGATGAGTCCACCCATTGACAAACGGTATACGTTTGCCGACTGGCTATCGCACAGCAGCCTACGTCATTTTCTTGAAACCAGACTTCCGTATGATTTTTAGTTCCAAAGGTGCTTGCTGCTATCTGTCAAAAAAGATGCCCAACGGTCTCCGAGTAATTTTTTTATCTAGGTTTCTTTAGTTTCCACCTGAGTAACAATTATTACAATTTGACATTCTACCACACTTTAAGCCTGAAAATGAACCCTTGAACTTGCCTCACGAATCAAAAAGCCCCTTTTAGCTATTGCATTGTGTGCAACCATACGAATCGTGCATTAGCGCGGCAACAAATTATGGTACACATTGTGTGTGACAATCATACAGTACATTTGCTTTTGCGCAGATCTCAAGACCTGTTGGACCTTAAGCTCTTGGGCCTCCGTCTGGAGACGAAGCTGACCATTCTGGAAGGCTTGGTGAACAAGCTGGGCGCCACCTCTAACAAGTGCAGCCAGGGCGGCCGTACAGGGGGTTCGGACACCGACACCGAAGTAGCCACCAGTGACACGCAGGAACGAATCTTGCGTGCCCAGCAGGCGATCATCGACATCAGTAACCGCAACACTGTCGAGCTGGAGAACCTAGCGCAGCTCGTCACCACGCAGACCTCCAAGCTGGCCAATCGCTCCGACGCCATGCTCGGACTTCTCAAGTCTTCCGAACTCGTGCTCCGGCGGCAACCACCTCAAGAAACTATCTCACAAGGCCGCAGACACCACCAACCTTAGATGAACCCGATTCGATGGATCGACCAGGGGCTTGCGCGTCACAACTTTTCAACTTTTTTGTTTGTTTTTCACAGGAACGCTTTGAAAGAAAGGGTGCCCAATAAACGAAGGTCGGGAATATCACAGCGCCCGTCAGTTATTCGTGCCATGCTGGCATGGTTACTGAGAGTGTCAAGAACAGGAGACGTACTATACGTCACATCATCACGCACTGTGACGTGTACAGTTGTGAACGAGAACCTGTTCCTTGTTTGCGTGGGATTTGTAGGAGATATAGTTTTGCTTTGTGTGCCTCGTAATAAAATAAAAAAAGTGTTTTCTTACTCGGAAAACTGAAGTGATTTGGGTGGAAGTATTGCCTTATATCTCAGACGTGGTTGAAAAGACTTGGTGACTGGAGGATACAGTTTTGGTGTCTTGTATAACATCCCTGCAAAATGAACGGTGAACTTTGTGTTGATTCAACGTTCCCAGCCACTCTCTCGGAGACCAATGCAATCCCAAAAACAGTGCGATACAAATGGCCCAGTGGTGGTGGCAGGGTTAGTTATGCGCAATAAAACTCTAGACTTGGTTTTCATCCTTGCATGCTTGGGCAGTTTGATAAAGGCCGAAATAGCCCCCGCCCCCCCGCCTAGTTCTTCTCATGATAATTATGCAGACGCTTCATACGCGTGACTATCTGGTCTGACGTACCAAACGTCTGCATGTGGGAGTTATTTTCCTTAATGTTAATTCTCATTATCTTCGGCTTCTATCCCTCTTTACATGTTGCTGCGAGATTAGATTACTCATTTTAACGTGCGAGTGCATTTCCTCAGAACAACTTTCATCAGTGTGCGAACCATGTAAGCGTGTATATATTTCTTATTGTGATTAGAACAAAACGCTGATATCATAATGGTGAACTCATATTCTCCATTGTCTTGCCTTGTTTCATTGGAGTTGTCTATATTAAAATTAGCAGTCATTCACAGAACATAGCCATTCGCTTGTGTGTTGAATTTACGTGCGTCGCACTACGTAACTTACCAAGAGTAAAACATAAAGGTAAGCTAAACTATATTGTAGAACTGCATAACAGAACTTTTGTTTGTTTGTTGTTTTTTATTGCCATTTCTTGTTGGCAATGGTAGGTGTGATAGCAGCACAAGTCTTAGCCAGAATAGTAAATATCATCATAATAATGATAACGGTGATTGTGCTGGTGCTCTGGGGGTTAATAGTGTTATTTTTTTATTTATAGTGCCCTCAAAGTAAACGTTCATTGTAAAAGAGAGGGGCTACACAAGAAAGGATCGACATGAAATTTACACACATTGCAATTAGAAGTTATAATAAATTTCTATAATTACATTTCGCAACAATCATCTTCACTACGAGTGTGCGTGACTCTAAGAGACCTTCGAGTGACAACACCGCAGCCGAGTGCATATAGACCTCGTGCCAAATCTGGTGCCACCTAGCGGTCACCGTGCGTATTTCCGCCATGTTCAAGGCTAGCTCGCTGCACATGTGCACGCATAGAGCGTACGTATCGACGTGTCACGGCTGATAGGAACGGCATCGCCTACATGTTTTCCTGTGCAGTGGGGCGCAGGTTGAGCAAGTTAGGATGTCGACAAAATTTTTTGCTGGAAACTAACCACAATTTTTATAGATTTCCTCGCGGTTGACGGGAGGCGGCCGATTGTTCCGTTGCTACGTGGCAACTGCTTACATCTAACACCGTGTTTATGTTCGTCGTTCTTAATAGATGAGGTATGTGACAGTATCAGCACTTACCAGAGAACAATATTCTGTGTCAAGCCGGAACTAAACTGTTTTCGCGTCGTGTGCATGCAGGCACAAGCAAACGGTACGAGCTTCAAAGCACCGTTATGGCTAGTTGCGCATGCCTGGACTGTTGTTGACAACATTACTTTAATACAATGCGATAAGATTTACGTGTTCGACAAGTTCACTAGTCACAATCCGACCGATTGTGATGAAACGTGTTTGTAGTTTATTTTATATTGTGGAGGTAGACTGATATGTGGTGTTTAACGTCCCAAAACCACCATATGATTATGAGAGACCACCATATGAAGATGAGAGAGGAGGGCTCCGGAAATTTCGATCACCAGGGGTTCTTTAACGTGCACCCAAATCTGAGCACACGGGCCTACAACATTTCCACCTCCATCGGAAACGCAGCCACCGCAGCCGGAATTCAATCCCGCGGCCTGCGGGTCAGCAGCTGCGTACCTTAGCCACTAGACCAGCGCGGCGGGGCAATTGTGTTGGAATGCTTTGCGGGCCTCTTTCTTCACAATGCGTACTTTTCACGCATTTCTTGTCCCCTGCCGAATTCAGAGGCGCAGTCCGAATGTCATCACTGTCCCCCTTCTTTTTTTTTTAATTTGTACCATAAACAGCACCAACAACGTTCTCTTAAAAGTAGATCCTTCTTCAAAAAAATCCTCTGTACCACCATGTGTGCTATGGAATGTTGAAAAATGCTTCAAGTCCGTAGAACTAGTACGATTTCTTTTAATGCTGCTTCAGCAAACGTGCTAAGTTCGACTGTGGGTGCGCTACTGCTGGTTACGCGAGGTGCTTCTTTAGCAAGCATTTTGTCCGTGAAGCATAACTAGCTTGTTGCCAAGGGTTGAAAATAGGCCCCGAAAGCAATGAAGAGGACGAGAATATTCTTGGCGTATCGTGTTATTGATTAGTACTTGTCGGAAGGACAATTAATAAAATACTAGTACTCAGCTCCTGCAATCTTGGAGAGCGACCAAGACTTTTCACGATTACTTCTCGCGTGCATATGCCCAACTTTCTCACATTATAATCATGTGGTAGTCTACTGTGTACCATACGTCGGTGACTACAGTGATGAAATATCTATTTTAAAAATAGAAAAACAGGACAACGTCTTAATTAAAATTACATGCACAATACGACGTCGACGTCGGCTGTCTCTTATGAAATGCGCTTTGAATTGGGCATATATACACGATTTCCATATCGTCATCGCTGTGCCTAGCCGTGTCACGTGGTTCAAAATTTTCCCAATTATCCGACACTACACGCATGTTGCTCGGGTGACAATGCTTTTTTATATATACTGAAAACAGGCAGACAAAATTTATAACCCAGCGCAAAGCTTCATTCTCAATGACGACAGACTTGATGACAAACATCTATACTTTTTTCTCGTCGTGAGCCAGTACTCTGCACGTATTAATAACTCAGTGCGAAAACAGAAATTCCGGTAACGTGTACAGGCCCTCACACACTCGCCTCGCCCGTTCACACCCCTAAGGGTAACACGCCCACCGACCCGCGCTGGTCGAACGGCTTGTTCGGAATCCGGTTCCTTCAGCACCGTAGTGCCTCTCCAACAACCCCGAGATGCCCCGCTGGGGTGGTCTAGTGGCTAAGGTACTCGGCTGCTGACCCGCAGGTCGTGGGATTAAATCCCGGCTGCGGCGATTGCATTTTCGATGGAGGCGAAAATGTGTGAGACCACTTTCTTACGTCAGGCCAGAATTTCTCGTCACAAAGGCGTGACGAACTTTAAAGAAGGCATGTGTCAGCCACACTTTGCCATAAAAAGTGGCAACTCATCTCCCTTGCGCAAGCGGATCGGCATATCTCAGCGTCTGGTGTTTGTGCGTCTGTTTTTTTCGGAGCTGTGCGCAACTGAACCACAACATCAACCTTTTATTTCTCTGTGAACCATGAAACTCGGGAGCGCTGCGCCGCTTCTTTGTGCGGACAGGCGAAATTAATTACCTGCGTCTGTTCATAGTTCAAAAAGAAACAGAGAAGCACCACACACCACCTGCTAAAACTGAGCTTTTTACATTGTATTTCAGAACCCTTGCCAATTGTCATTATCATAAACTTTTTCTCCGCACCTTGATTAAAATTTCGTCACATCCTCATCGCGGGTAGTTCCGGTGTGACGTAACAGAGAGGCCACGTTTTCTGCGTGGCGTGTGTAGTCATTTTCAGTATGGTCCTTAGAGCATACAGGGTGTTTCAAGAAATGTGTTCAATATTCTTTAAAAATTACAGAAAGAGGGTATCTGCGTGCTTCTTGCGGCGTTGCCTTCCTGTGGCAGAATGCATCTTTAGAGAGAGATTATGGCAGTAAATATTACAAAAATTAACACAATTAACTTTTAACCAGTGGTAATAACCGCTCAAGTAAAATGGGTGAATTGAAGGCTTTCCGACAAATTGTCCACAGCCACTTTGAAATTTGGGAGAAACGGCCACTAGTACCTCCCCACGGAGCGATGCCATGAGCTTAATTTAGTTGGAGAAACCAACTATATACATACATATATATATATATATATATATATATATATATATATATAGGGAATGTATAAAGGCAGTTATTAGAATTAATGATGAATGTAGTGTAAACAAAAAGAAGAAAAGTGGGTGAAAAATAACTTGCCGTGAGCAGGAATCGAACCTACGTCGAGCTCGTCAAATCGAACCTACGTCGTATGTAATATATATATATATAATATATATATATATATATATAATATATATATATATATATATATATATATATATATATATATATATATATATATATATATATATATATATATGTATGTATGTATATATATCCGCACAAAGCGGCGAAAGCAGGTTGTGTGTGTGCCTTCTCTGTTTCTTGCCGCTTTTTCGCGCAGTTTTGTAGTTAACAATTACCAACTCGTCCAGCTTTTAGTCTTCTTGAGAACAGACACTGTATTTTTTTACGCGAAAGCATTAACCTGCGTCAAAGAAAATTCGATCCAAGATTTAGCGGAAAATCCCGACAAACGCAATGAATGATAATCGCGATTCGAACTCAAGCACTTCGTTTTCCATAAAATTGATGTCCGTGCTCTAACGTGGGTGCAAGTACCTTTTGTAGTTCTACGCTCCAAAATCACGCTATTATTATAAGCGACGCCGTGGTGGAAGGCTCGGAAAGTTTTGGTGAAGATGTGTTCTTTAACACGCACCTAAATATCAGTGCGCACGCCTCAAACATTTAGCTACTATTGAAGTGCCTAGATTCGATCCCGCGACCTTCAGGCCAGCAGTCGAGTACCATAAGCAGACCACCATCGCGGTCGAATGCATGCGCAGACGTTACGTCGGCCAATCAGCGACCGTCTAAGCACCCGTACAATCGATGTCACGGGCATAGAATATGCACAGACACTGTGTAAACAGCATTCACACAAACACGTCGGACCACCTTTTAACGCTTAGCTCAAAGCCTAAAAATGCAGCATAAGCAGCTATCCACCGGCTGCTTTGGATGAAACAGATTCTGCGAAAATAGACAACCAAGTGGACAGCGGTCATCTTAATTGAACGTATCGCGTAACTCGCGAAATTTACAAGTTGTCAATGACATAATCGGCAACAAATACGACGTAGGCTACTTTTCTGTCTAAACAAGACGGCAGCTAAACAGAATGCGTGGATCTCGCCGGTTGTCTGGCCACTTTCTGACGCACTCAATGTAATACTCCTGTCACACGGCCATCATTAAACTCCGTTGAACACTGTCAACGTAAATCTCCCCTAAGTGGTTCGACGGAGAAGGAGTTGTGGCAGTGTCACACGGCAATGAAAAAGTAGTAACAGTTAGTGCGAGCAGGCTCAGCTGGCGCTGTTTGATTTTCGGAAAAGTATTCTAATTTCATCTCTATTGATTTTTTTGTGAATCCTCGTTCTGGGGTTTTTACAAAAAACACTAATAAGGAGGTAAGAGGCTAAGAAACCATAAAAATATTTTCAAATAAAAACGAATTCGCTAAATCTAGCGATGCTGCTAGTGACGCTGGCGACATTGTGCTTTTAGTTGTTTTTTTGCTTGTGTTCATGTTTGTGTACGAAAGTTCTTGTGCTTCCTTGCCTCGTGAGCGCACAGTTCGTGTTCTTCAGCCAGGAGTGAAACAGCGA